GGTTCCCGACCATAGACAACCCGAAATGGAGTCATGCCAAGAGAGGAGTGATAGGCCGTGTTGCAGCAGTATTCGGCCCATGGAAGGCAATCCACCCAACGTCGTGGTTGGTCACCCACAAAACAGCAGAGGTACATCTCTATGGTACGGTTTACGACCTCCGTTTGCCTGTTCGTCTGCGGATGGTAGGCTGATGAAAAAGCTAGGGTCGTACCCTGCAATCAAAATAGCTCCTTCCAGAAGGTGCTGGTAAAGACCGGGTCCCTGTCACTGACGATGGATTCGGGTAGCCCATGCAAGCGGAAAATGTGTGAAGAAGACGTGGGCAACCGAAACTGCGCCATATGGGTGGGATAAGGGAATGAAATGAGCATACTTGGAGAAACGATCCACCACCACGAATAAGACTGATTTCCCGCCGACCTTGGGCAGGCCCTCAATGAAGTCCATGGAGATATCAACCCAGATCTGTGTTGGAAGTGAAAGAGGCTGGAGGAGGCCCGCTGGGTGTAAATTTTCCCATTTCTGTTGTTGACACATGGAGCAATTCCGGATGAAATCCCGAATCGAGGCCTGCATACCATGCCAATGGAAATCGGTGCGGATGCGGTGTAACGTCTTCTGAACCCCTTCATGTGTGGCGTTATGAATGTTGGAGATGACGGCGGAAATTAATGGACAATCGGTTGGGAGATATACCCGTCCCTTGTATAGTACTAGTCCGTCGTGTATGGACCAGTTCGGGTTGGTCGCACCGGACTGTATCTCTTGAACCAGGTCCCTCCATTCTGGTGACTGGGGCAGCACGCTCCTAATGCTCTCCAATAGGGTGACGCGGGGCTGGGAGATTGCACAAAGGTGTATAGCATCTTCGTCATGCCTGGACAGTGCATCCGCGGCCCGATTTAAGGTCCCTGCCTTGTGGTCTACTCGGAAGTCAAACCCGAGCAGTTTACTTGCCCAGTGCTGTTGAGGTGGAGTGGTCATCCGCTGCTCGAATAGGTACTTGAGACTGTAGTGGTCCGTCTTGACGACGAAGGGTCTCCCCCACAAGTATGGCCTCCAGTGTTGTACGGCCTTGGCTAGTCCAATCAACTCGCGCTCGTAGGCCGGTAGCTTTAGGTGCCAGTCAGCTAACTTGCGGCTAAAGAAGGCTATGGGGTGCCCTTGCTGTTGTAGTACTGCTCCAATGCCTATACCAGAAGCATCACATTCAACCGTAAATTCCAGGTCAAAGTTTGGTAACTGCAGCACTGGGGTGGAGGAGAGTGCATCCCTTAAGTTTGTGAAGGCGGCGTCCGCTGCTTCATCCCACTAGAATGCGTTCTTCTTCAGCATCTTGGTTAATGGGGCAGCCAAGAGTCCATAATCCTTTACAAACTTGCGGTAATATCCGGTGAGTCCTAAGAACCCGCGGAGAGCCTTGGTGGACTGAGGTTTGGGCCACTCTTGAATTGCTTGGATCTTGGAGCCATCTACCGAGACACCTTTCCCGCTGATTACATGTCCCAGATAGAGGACCTATCACTCCCCGAAGGAACATTTGGGCCGCTTCAGGAAGAGTTTGTGTTGGCGCAATAGTTCCAGAATAGTTCGTAGGTGACGAACGTGCTCCACCCATGATGTGCTGTAAACCAGAATGTCGTCGATAAATACTAGGATGAATCTGCGGAGGTGGGGTCGAAATACCTCGTTCATCAAGGACTGAAATTTGGATGGGGTGTTGGTGAGGCCAAATGGCATGACCAAAAATTCGAAGTGGCCATGATGCGTTTGGAAGGCTGTTTTTTCCACATCCTCGGGGGCCATCTGGACCTGAAAGTACCCTGATCTGAGATCCAGCTTTGAGAAGTATTGAGACCCGTGGAGTCCATCTAGTAGTTCGTTTACCACGGGAATCGGAAATTTGTCCTTGACGGTTCTGTTGTTAAGTTCCCTGTAATCCACACAGAACCTCCAGGTGCTATCTTGTTTTGGTACCAATAAGACTGGCGAAGAGAAGGGGGAGCGGCTGGGGCGGATGATTCCTTGTTTCAACATTTCTGCACACTGTCTCTCTATCTCATCTTTTTGCAAGTGCGGGTAGCGGTATGGCCGGACGATGACGGGTTCTGAACCTGGAATTAAAGGGATTCGATGGTCACTCGATCAGGCAGGTGGGAGTCCCTTGGGTTCTGAAAACACGTCCGGGAAGTCGGTGAGAAGTCTCTCCATCTCTGCGGTGTGCATGGTGTCGCCATGGAGAGTATGCACCTGCGGTCTTTTTGCCCTTACCTTGGTTCCTTGCCAGGTGACTTGTTTTCCGTTCAGGTTGAATGTCATGGTCAGGGCACTGAAGTCCCATAGGATAGGGCCTAGAGTGATGAGCCACTTGACTCCAAGCACTATATCAAACTCGTCCAGCGGCAGTACAAATAAATCAGTGGAGAAGGGTTCGGATTCAACCTGTATTTGGATGTTCCGGCAGATTCCAGGGCTGTGAACTGTCTCCCCATTAGCGACGGCTACTTGAAGTTGCGGTCTGCCTTCCACCGGAAGTTTCAGTTGAAGTGCCGCTTGCTTGCTGACAAAATTGTGTGTGCTTCCCGAGTCCACCAGAATACGTACTGGTTTCGCTGCCACCTGTGCCCGCAACTGCATGGTTTGGGAGTTCTGTATTCCGGTGATGGCGTGGAGGGAGATCTCAGGTTCTAATGCTGTATGCTCCTCCTCGTCTTCCTTTAGTTCGTCTACCAGGAGGCAGAATAACCGCTTGCATCGGTGCCTGGCTGAGTACAGCTCGTCGCAGTTGAAGCATTGACCTCTTGCCCGGCGCTCCGCCATCTTAGCTCTAGATAAGCGTTTGATGGGAGGTGCCGTCATGCTGCTTCCTATGCTGGGTGCCGACCTGGAAGTGTTACCTGTGTGAAGCCGTTGTTCCCTGCTGGCTGCCAACGAAGACCCTCCTCCAGTTGATTTCGGGTTTGCCCAAGAAGTCGCTGAACGCCCCATGCTGAAAGACCCTCGGCTGATCTGTAGCTTGCGCTCGAAAGAGCGGGCTAGGTTCATTGCAGTGACCAGGTTGGGAGGGCTCTGCA